TGGGCCTGGGCACTGTCCCTAAGCTCTTCAGCTCAAGGCTAGCGCTCTACCACTTGAGCCACAGCACTACTTCCTGTTTTCTGGTGGTTAATTGGAGATAAGGGTCTCACAGACTTTCCTACCTGGGCTGGCTTCAAGCTGCAATCCTCAGATCTCAGTCTCCAGAGTAGCTAAGATTACAGGCATGAACCACCAGTGCCTGGGAAGTCTATTTTATTTGTTTGTTGAGGGGCTTGAACTTGCAGCCCAGGTCTGTCCCTGAGCATGTTTGCTCAAGGCTAGTACTCTAACACTTTGAGCCACAGTTTCACTTCCCTTTTTTCTTTCTTTCTGCTGGTGCTGGGCTTGAACTCTTGCTTGGCTTTTTCACTTAAGGCTGGCATTCTACCACTTGAGCCACAGGAACAAAGGAACCACCAAAAAAGAATGGGAAGTGGAGCTGTGGCTCAAGTGATACAGCACTAGATTTGAGGGGAAAAAGCTAAAGGAGAGTGCCTAGGCCCTGAGTTCAAGCCCAGAACTGGCACAAAAAATGAAATTTTAGCTTAATAATAATTTTTTTTGTTGGTCATGGAACTTGAACTCTAGGTCTGGGCACTATCCCTCAGCTCCTCAGCAAAAGGCTAGCCCTCTACTGCTTGAGCCACAGTGCCACTTCTGGTTTTCTAGTGGTTTATTGGAGATAAGAGTCTGCCTAGGCTGGCTTTGAACCCAGATCCTCAGATCTCAGCCTCTGAGTAGTTAGGATTGCAAGCGTGAGCCACCAGCACCTGGCTTAATCATAATTTTTAAGATGATATTTTAGTTGCATTAACTACTCAGAGGCTGAGATCTGAGGATCTGGGTTCAAAGCCAGCCTATATATATATATATATATATATAAAATTTTATTTTGTCGGTCATGGGGCCTGAACTCTGGGCCTGGGTACTGTCCCTCAGCTCTTCAGCTCAAGGTCAGTGCTCTATCACTTTGAGCCACAGTGCCACTTCTGGCTTTTTCTGCTTATGTGGTGCTAAGGAATTGAACCTAGGCCTCATGCATGCAAGGCAAGCACTCTACCACTGAGCCACCTTCCCAGCCCGAGATATATATTTTTTAAAACTGTTGTCAGTCTGGGTTTTGTTACCTGGTAAGGGAGGCAGTCTTGCATCTGAGTAATTAAAATTAATATTTACTGTGCATAGATAATTTATTCCCAGTCCTTTGCAAGTTTCTTAGTCTATTTTATGCTCTACAGCAGAATATCATAGATGGGATAAATTACACACAGTTCTACAGGCTAGGAAGGACAGTATTGGAAGGCCATATCTGGTGAGGGTGTTTGTGCAGAAAGCAGCAAAGGGTCAGAGAGTATGAGCGGTCTGATAATAAAGCCACTCCTTACCATAACATAAATCCATTCTTTTTTTTTCTTTTTGTTTGTTGTGGGGCTTGAACCAGAGATCAAACCTGGCTGCTATCCCTTAGCTCTTCAGCTCAAGGCAAGCACTCTACCTCTTGAGCCACAGCACCATTTCCATTTTTCTTGTAGTTTATTGGAGATAAGCATCTCATGGACTTTCCTGCCCTAGCTGGTTTGGAATTGGTATCCTCAGATCTCAGCCTTCTGAGTAGCTAGAATTACAGGTGTGAGCCACCACTGCCCGGCTCATGCATCCATTCTTTTTTTTTTTTTTTGAGTCGGGTTGTGGGGCCTGAACTCTGGGCCTGGGCACTGTCCCTCAGCTCTTCAGCTCAAGGCTAGCGCTCTACCACTTGAGCCACAGCGCCACTTCTGGCTTTTTTCCTTTTGCTTATGTGGTGCTGAGGAATCGAACCCAGGGCCTCAGGCATGCAAGGCACGTGCTCTACCACTGAGCCATCTTCCCAGCCCCCATGCATCCATTCTTAAAGGTGTCACTTTTCAACCTTAGGGATCATTACTAATGCATGGATTTTGGGGCCACATTCTAACCACAGCAATCTGTTATAATCCAATAGGTCATCCTGCAAAGTTGCATGGCTGATCCAAGTGAGATGAAATGATTGTCCAAAGTCATACAACTTCAGAGAGGCTGTGCTGGATTTGAAGTCTGTTCTTTTAGCCACTAACCTGAAAAGGATGTGGTACTATAAGGAATAGTAAAAATCTGCCCAAGAGAGCAATGGTCTTGTAGTTGAACTTGATGTCTCTGACAATACATCCTCCTTCCCTATCAGTGGAACATTAGGCTCTTTTAACTTTTAACAGAGCAGATATGTAGATACATACTTTTTTATTTTATTTTTTGTCGGTTGTGGGGCCTAAACTCTGGACCTGGGTGCTGCCCTTCAGTTCTTCAGCTGAAGGCTGGCGCTATACCACTTGAGCCTCAGCCCCACTTCCGGCTTTTTCTGCTTATGTGGTGCTGAGGAATCAAACCCAGGGCCTCATGCATGCAAGGCAAGCACTCTACCACTGAGCCACCTTCCCAGCCCCTAGATACATAATTGTTGCAGCAATTTTAGCTTTAATGAAATCCTCACAGGCAGTATTTTTCTGACATCCACTTGCAATAGTATGAAGTCAGCTTTACTCTTTGCCACTAATTATATTAGCTATTTTTAGGGCAAGATGCCAATGCCCCATATTTATTCCTGCTTTTTACGTTTTCAATTTGTTTTCTTTAGCCATATCTATTTATACCTAAAGTGTTTTATTTATTTTAAGAGATGTCCTCATTATTCTGTCAATGATAAAGTTAGGGCTTATAATTAAGTTGTAAAGCACACTGGGAAGGAGAAGACAACGAGCGGTTGCCATGGGAATATTATTGATGACTATTGGATTGCTTTTAAAATTCTGAATAAAAACTCATTTTAATGTTAAAGTTGAATGTTGAATCATGAAGTTACAGAACAAGGAGGAAGCTAAGGTCACCAAAGTGTAACTTTAGATCACACTTGGTGTTTGGCAAGCTTTGTGACCAAGTGATTTTGTAGTTAGTGTCATAAACCTAATTCCTTATCTATAAAATGGGGAAACTAATACATAGCTTCTAGAGCTCTCCTGTGGATTAAAGGAGATGGGGGTTTTAACTCTGTTCATTGTATCTACATTTATTCTATCACAATTGTGGTAATTGCTACTATTATTACCACTATTCTATCAACATTATTTCTCCAAATGACTGCCAAAAGTATCCAGTTTCTTCAGGCACATCTGGTCCTATTTCATCACCTTTGTTCTCCATTATGACTTGAACTCATTTCTTACATAGAGAGCTATATGGTTAGAGAGAAGAACATCCTATGGGCTTTCCTTGCTTTTCCAGCTGGGGAATTCTGGGCAACTTTAACTGATAAAAGCTAGCTGGGCTGACACCAATATCTTAAAACCTCTCCAGCAGTCCTCCAATGTCCACTGTAAGGACTAGCCTGTACTTGCTCCTCCCAATGCTCTTGAAAATACTGACATCTAGCCAGGAACCAGTGGCTCACACCTATAATTGAGCTACTCAGGAGGCTGAGATCAGAGGATCGCAGTTCAAAGCCAGCCCAGGCAGGAAAGTCCATGAGACACTTATCTCCAATAAATCACCAGAAAACGGGAAGTGGCGCTGTGGCTTAAGTGGTAGAGCGCTAGCCTTGAGGTGAAGAGCTGAGGGACAGCAGCCAGGCCCAATCAAGCCCCTCAGCCAATAATAAATAAATAAATAAAAATTCAGACATTAAGGGATTAGCTACCTTGGCCTTCAGTGTCTGGATTCATCTGGATTGTGATAGTGAACTAATGCAGGATGAGCTCTGTCAACTGACACTTTCCTTGCTCATCTCCTAATTTCTTGTCTTAGGATGGCTATTCTTATTGTCCCAAAATCTATAATACATTTCCATATCATACGTGTTTTGAGCAACATGAGCACAAGCCTATCATAAATCCGTTTATTTGGACCAGGATCCTAGAGGATCTCCATGCCTATAAAACCATTTGAAGAAAACTATGCATTCGAAATTAGAATGTAGTTTAGGATCTACAATGACCCTGGACTAACTAGCTTAGAGGTGAGCCAAGTGCCTCAAAAGTATTGAGCGTATTAGATGCTTTCTCCTAAGGCTCTGGCATTTATTCCTGTCCCAAACTCCCTTCTGCCTTGTATGGAAAGTTGGGACAGCATCCCCTCAATTACAAACATACACACAACCCAGCACCTGTGAGACAATAGGTTCAGGTGCATATTAAATATTTATGGAGTACAGTTATTAGTTTCTCTCTCTGCAGTCTTGTGGAACTGAGGAAAATGATTTCTTTGTTCCGTGCCCCTTGCTCTTGCCTTGGGGTCTCCAGCCATGGGCCAGATTTACAGTTTCTCCTGGAGGTCAGCCAGCATGGTAAGGAAGCTCAGGTCTTTTGTCTCTGTATGGACTCTGTGTCTGCAGAGCCAAGGACTTACAGAAGTGCTCCCTAAATGTCATCTACTCTTCCCAGGGCTCCACTTGGGTCCTCATGGAGCTCTCAGCAAACTGGGCCATGTGGTGCTTTATTATCATAGAAATAAGAAAATAGTTATTCTGAAATAAATCTCCAACCTCTTAGAACTCTCTATATTTTTAAAATACATTTTTTTATTTGGTTCTGGTTCTGAGGCCCGAATTCAGGGCCTGGGCGCTGTCCCTGAGATTTTTCTAAAGACCTCGTGAGCCACAGCTCCACTTTCAGCTTTTGGTGGCTAATTGGAGATCAGAATCTCAGGGGCTTTCCTGCCCAGGCTGGCTTCAAACCTCGATCCTCAACTATCAGCCTCCCAAGTAGATAGGATTGTTAGCAGGTGCCACCGGCGCCTGACACAAAGACTATTTAATAACTCTGCTATCGCAACCCAATCCAAACCCTTCCAGCTGGGTCCACAGCCATGGCTGTCCCCGCCCATGTACCTGTGCCCCGCCCACTCCAATGCGCACGCGCAGTCGTTCTGTCCTCGAATGGCGCGCGATAGTGACGTGTATAGTCTGCGACGTTCTCGGCGGGCTGATTGACTTGTTGACTTGTGTCCCGGCGCTATGGCCTCCGGGGTGGCTGCCGGGCGACAGGCGGAAGACGCGTTACCGACGGGGTCCGAGCCGCCTCTGCCCGAATCAAAGCCATTGCCGCCTCCTCAGCCGCCACCGCCAGTGGCGGCGCCCCAGCCGCCCCAGCCCCCCGCGCCGCAGCCTCAGTCATCGACCGGCATGAAGGAGGAGGAGAACCACTCCTTTTTACCTTTGGTTCACAACGTCATCAAATGGTAAGCGCCCTGGAGACCCCGAGCCGCCGCATCCTTCCTCGCTTCCGGTCTCTCCGAGTTCAGACCTAGCTTCTAGAGATTTGGGCGCTCCTGGGTACGCCCCCATTTCACAGGTGGGGAAACTGAGGCCCAGAGCGGGAAGAGACCTGTCCATGAGTCCAGCATGCGCCTTGAACCCCGTGGGTTGCAATATGTTTAAGAACGAAGCCTGCGGATTGACCAGATGAATGCACAGGCTCTTCAGTGCGACGGTTCAAGTTTGCATCCCAACGAGCTTGAGGAAGTTACGCTTGTTTGAGCCTCAGTTTCCTCACTTTTAATATAGGTTAATAGAGATTGCGTGTCCCTTATTTGAAATGCCTGAATCAAAAGTATTTCAGATTTAGGTGTGTTTTTTCTTTTTCAGATTGTGGAATGTTTACATATACCTAATGCAAGAGCTTGGGGATGAGATCCTATACACACAGCCTGAAAGTACTTTTAGTTAGCTGTAGTTCACCTTGTGTTTTATCAGAAACTAGTCACATGAGACCAAGGGTGGAATTTTCCACTTGATTACCCACTTAAGTTTTCAGATTTTTGTGTATTTCTGATTTCAAAGTATAGATGTTAGCTGGGCGCCAGTAGATCATGCCTGTAATACTAGCTACTCAGGAGGCTGAGATCTGAGGATCACAGTTCAAAGCCAGCCTGGGCAGGAAAGTCCCTGAGACTCTTATCTCCAATAAACCACTCAGAAAACTGGAAGTGGTGCTGTGGCTCAAGTGGTAGAGCTCTAGCCTTGAGCTAAAGTACAGTGCCCAGGTTCAGAGTTCAAGCCATGACCAAAAAAAATAATAAAGTATAGATGTTTACCTTATCCTCAGTTTGGTTCACTTTTTCAACATATATGCATAATCTATCTTATGTGGCACACTGCACAGGGGCCAACTTTTACCATCCTGTACCCAGCTCAGCATGAAGAACCCATAATTTTTACTTATTTTTTACAGTACTAAAAGTTCATGCTTGCTGGCAGATGCTCTACTGCTTGAGCCATGCCTCCAGTTGTTTTTATTGTGGTTAGTTTTGGCTAGGATATAGCTTTTTGCCTGTTGGACCTGGTTCTCCTATCCTCCTAATTATACTTTCCTTGGTAGCTGAGATGACAAACAAATGCCATTGTGCCCAGATTTTTTGTTGGCTAAGATAGTGTCTTACAAACTTTTTCCAAGCTACCTTCATCTTTGATTCTCTTTGATTTTAGCCTCCTGAGTAACTAGGATTACAGGCATGAGCCACCTTGCCTAGGTAATATTCCCCTCCCCCCTTTTTTTTAATTGAGAGAAGACCTGATCATGGAAAACATATGAGGCAAGAAACCCCAAATGGTTAGATCGCAGTAGTAACATAGGATCCAAGGATGTGGTCATTCTTTTGGCCCAAAGTCTACCTAATTATAATTTTTGTATACTTTATTTCTTTTATGTTACTTCCTTACAAGTTGTGTTGCTTAAGAATAGGAACATAACTGGGCACCGGTGGTTCACGCCTGTATTCCTAGCTATTCAGGAGGCTGAGATCTGAGGATCGAGGTTGAAAGCCAGCCAGGGCAGGAAAAGCCATGAAACTCTTATCTCCAGTAAACCACCAGAAAACTGGAAGTGGTTCTCTGGCTCAAGTGGTAGAGCACTGGTCTTGAGCTGAACAGCTGAGGCACAGCACCCAGGTCCAGAGTTCAAGCCCCATGCCCACCACCACCAACAAAAAAGAATGGGAACATGTTGAGGTGGTTCACGCCTGTAATCCTACCTACTCAGGAGGATGAGATCTGAGGATCACAGTTCAAAGCCAACCCAGGCAGGAAAGTCTGTGAGACTATTCTCTCCAATATCCCACCAGAAAACCGGAAGTGGCGCTGTGGCTCAAATGATAGAGTGCTAGTCTTGAGCTGAAGAGTACAGGGACAGTGCCAAAGCCCAGAGTTCAAGCCCCACGACCAACCAAAAAAAAAAAAAAGAATGGGAATATGTTTGAAGAGGTACATCCTGGAAGATACTTCCCTAAAACTAGGTGGTAAAGGTCAACCTCTGCTGGGGAACTCTTGATGCAATCAAGAGACTTGGTAAACAGATGTATGAGGCTGCTCTTAGTATCACCTGACATACTGCCCTTTACTGTCACATGATACACTGTGTTTGGTGGACTGTTTTTTTTAATTAAGTGCACCCTAAAATAACAATAAATACAGTATAGTATATACCTCAGTAGCACAGTCTTTTTGGGGGGGGATCAGGGGTCGGTCATGGAGCTTTCACTTAGGGTTTAGGCTCTGTCCTGGAGCTCTTTTGCTCAAGGCTAGTGCTCTACCACTTTGAGCTACAGCTCCACTTCCAGTCTTCTCATGATTAGTTGAAAATAAGAGTCTCAGAAATTTTCCTGTCCAGGCTGGCTTTGAACTGTACTTAGATCTCAGCCTTCTGAGTAGCTAGGAGTATGATTACAGGTGTGAGCCACTAGCACCCAGCTTAGTAGTACGTACAGTTATCATTATCAAGTATTATGTACTGTCTATAATTGTACCTGCCATACTTCATACTTCCACAGTAGGCTGGTTTTCTGATGCCTCATGCTACAGCATTATCACAGCTCCTGTGTCAGTAGGCCATAGAACTTTTTAATTCATTACAGTATAATCTTATGGAATCATCATAATAACTGTGGTCTGTTGTTGACTGAAAAGTTCTTTTTTTTTTTGGTCTGGTTGTGGGGCCTGAACTCTGGGCCTGAGCACTGTCCCTCAGCTCTTCAGCTCAAGGCTAGCGCTCTACCACTTGAGCCACAGCACCACTTCCAGCTTTTTTCTTTTTGCTTATGTGGTGCTGAGTAATTGAAACCAGGGCCTCATGCATGCAAGGCAAATGCTCTACCACTGAGCCACCTTCCCAGCCCAACTGAAAAGTTCTTTGGCACATGACTGTATAGCTACATGATACTAGGCATAAACTCCTGAGTTTATAACTTCTCTTTTAGTTATTGTAAAACCAAAATGGCAAATTAAGGCACAATTACCCTTCTCCGGTAACATTCAGATGAGCATAATGTGCTCTTGTGAATTGCTGCTCCCAACGTGGAACCTGCTTTTGGACTGGGTAGTTGAAATTCACGTGAGGTCAGTTCTCTTCCGTCACTTTTCTCCTCAGGTGACTATTGCGGTGAGCCTTTGCTCTCACATTAGACTCTCACTTTGCTCAGTGTGAAAATGCTGTTGGTAGTACAAGGCCCACTCTGTTGTGTTTGAGTTAGCTGAGTGCAATAAAGTGGCACTACTTAGCAGTACCAAAATCACGAACAGATGTACAAATGAAGACCCAAGTCCCAGGGAAAAGCTGGATTAGCAGGGGTTATCCAGATTAATCCAAATATACTGAGTTTAAGAAAGATATGGAAGGGCTAGGAAGGTGGCTCAGTGGTAGAGCACTTGCCTTGCATGCATGAGGCCCTGGGTTAGATTCCTCAGCACCACATAAGCAAAAAGAAAAAAGCCGGAAGTGGCGCTGTGGCTCAAGTGGTAGAGCGCTAGCCTTGAGCTGAAGAGCTGAGGAACAGCACCCAGACCCAGAGTTCAGGCCCTACGACCGGACTCCCCCCCCCAAAAAAAAGAAAGATATGGAAAAGAACTATTATTCACAAGTCATTCGCAAAGACAGCACTTGGACTTCAGAAGGGGTATTCTTAAATCCTTATAGAGCATTTGGATTGGGCTGGCCTTCAATATGGGGCAGTAAGATATACTAAGGAGAATAGGCTTTGAAGTCAGTTGGTCTTGGGTTCAAGTCTGTGTGCTGATACTTGCTGATACTTAATTTCCCCAGTTGTCATTACCTGTCTCTAATATGTGAATACTGGCCACCTCAAATAATAGGTTCACATTAGAGTTCTATAATGTACTACCTGGGTGGCCTTGGGCAGGTAACTTAGCTTTCCAAGCCTCTTTTTCTTGACATATGGAACAGTGGTACTTGTCATAGAATTATGAGATATACTCACATACACACATGTGAAAGATGGCAGGCTGATCATATGTGTTGTCTTAAAGAATAACTGAAGTGATTTTTTTTTAAAGCATAAAACAAAAAGAACAGGATAGGAAATAGTTGGCTCAAAGCAGATAGTCAAGGGCTGCCTCGCCTAAAAGCCCTGAAACATCTGCCGTTGATCATAGCCTCCCACAAATCTCAGGACTTGGCTGCCAGAAGCCTCCCTAAGAGAGTATAAGGTAGGGATGTTTGTGTGTGTGTACACTTGTGTGCATGCTAAGAACAGAAGGAAGCCTAAGAAACAAGTACTCAAAGTCTTGGGTTCTCCCCAATTCTTGGCTGTAAGCATATGGGTGACTGCCCTTCTTCCATTTTGGCAGACAAGGAAAGCATTGCTCTTCCTAAGATTTAACATTTGTAAGGAGAAACTACAGAGTATCTGTCCTGGGACATAGCAGGCACTTTGCAAGAGTTGGTAGGGGGAACCATGTCAAAAGTAGGGATTGAGAGCAAGCTCCCAGATTGAATAGTGAGCCCTTTAGTCTTTTTCCCCTGGTGTTACTGCTAAAAGTAGCCAGATTAAGGTGCCTCCTTTGGGGTACCTGACCAGCTAAAGAGAAAAAGCATTGGGAAAGAAAAAAAGACACTGAATGAAAAGACTTTGTTTGGGGTTGGGAAGGGGCCTCAGTGGTAGAGTTTTTGCCTTGCATGCATGAGGACCTGGATTCCAATTCCTCAGCACCACATAAGCAGAAAAAAGCTGGAAGTGGCACTGTGGCTCAAGTGGTAGGGTGCTAGCCTTGAGCTGAAGAGCTGAGGGACAATGTCCAGGCCTAGAGTTCAGCCACCATGACTGACAAAAACAAAACAAAACTTTGTTGCCCTACGAAAAGCCAGGTCAGTTCATTGTAAGAGAATCCTAATGTATCACTCCCAACTTAAACTGCTTTACTTGTAAGGTATGGTCTAGCAGACCACTAA